AAAAAAAAAAAAAAAAAAAAAAGGAGACGAACAAAAAAAGAAACACACAGCATAGTGAAGTAAACTGTCCTCCATGGAGTGAACTGTGGAAAAGCAGAAGGCGAGTGTGCGCTTGAAAGTCTAGAAGCCTGGGAACCCAGCGCAACCCACAGTGTAGCCCAGTTACTGGTTTTCTTCTTAGGCTCAAAGTTGGTCATAAACATGAGTCAGTTGGGCTGTGTCAATATTTAGCAGGAACACCAGGCCTGCTGTCCTGGTACAGAAAGACGGCACATCAGAAATAATCTGGGGGCTGGGGAGGTGGCTCAGTAGAATAAGCGCTTGCCTGGCAAGCACGAGGGCCTGAGTTCAATCCTTGGTTCCAAAAAAAAAAAAGGAAGGAAGAAAGAAAGAATCATGTTGGATAGAATTCTGGAGTTCTAACAACATTGTGCAGTTTCCTGTTGGGTTGCTTGGTTGGCTGGTTGGCTGCCTATTGGCTATTTTGACTACTGTCTGATGGAAACCAAATTATTTCATGTGATTGCTATTTTATTTTCGTGGTTTCTGTGCACAAAGTCGATTGTGGCCACATGGACAGTGCTCTCCCTCATTGCCACAGACGGGTGTCTGGTCTTGCACTTCAGGCTGTCTGCATCCTGCAGACTGTAGCTGTTGTCCTGCACCAGACAGGGGCTGAAAACCTCCTCAGCGCTGCTCAGTCTGCCCTCGGTCAGTCTGCAAACACGCCAACTTGTAGGTGCCCCAGGCCTAGTATAGAAGAGCGAGTTCATCGTGTGTCTTTCCTTTCCTGTGTCCTTTCCAATATATCACCACACCCTGCAGCCACTTGCTGAAACGTTTGCCTTCTAGACTTCAAAGTTTTTGAGAACGGAGGCTTTATGTTGTTTAGCTTTGTATTCCCACTGTTTGACATCATTACTCACAATATAGTTAGGATTCCTTTTTTTTTTTTCCATCCTGTGGATTGAACTCAGGACGTTTTGCTTGCCTGGCAGGTGCTTAGGCCCCTGAGCTATCTCCCTGCCCCATTGTTCACAATATAGTTAGTTAATTAATTAATATTGAATAAATATAGGTGTATATGTTAATTTCTTTGCCATACTGAAACTCGCAGAAATAAAACATGCTTTAACTCTATATAGGGAATTATTTCAAGTGTTTGATTACAGTAGATGATGTTCTATCCCCTACTCTCCCAAACTATTCTGTTTATAATGTTTATGAAAATAACAGATACACAGTATAATGCCTCCTAAGGGTAGAACGTCAGCTTCTCTAGAGCAGGCCTGAAATCTCAGTTCTCTTGTTAGAATGTATGTAGAATTAAATTCACAAGTACTTGATGATTGGCATGTGCTCTGCCCAGAATTCTTCCAAAACCCAATTCACATTAATTCACAAAAAGGGAGTGTGTAATGGAGGAGCACAGGGCCTGGTAACAGGGCTTCTAAATCCTCAAAGTACGCTGCCAGAGTTCCTCTGTGTCTTTCTTCAGTTCTTGTTCAGCTTCTCTGTCATGGCTTTGAAAAACCATGAATTTCTCATGTTATTCCAACTAACAGGTTAAAGGCATTTCTTTTCTATTCTACTTCTAGGTGTAAATATCAAAGAAAAACTGTCACTGATCAGCTAGGGTTGTGTGTCTTCGCTGAGCCTATCACAGTGATTTGGGAAGTAGAAAACTCTAGCTGGCGAGAGTTTGCTGTAATTGGCAGCTTCCTGGAACTGTACTGGATGGAAGCAGGGCATTTCTCCAAATAAAATCAGGAAAAAAAAAGTGCCAAAAGAATGTGAACAAACCAAAACAACAAACAAAAAAAGTTTATCCAAAATGCTTAGAATCAGAATGATTTGAAGTTTGTCTTGCTTTTTTTTTTTTAATTCTGGTATATTTGCATGTACATGTGAAATATCTTGAGGAGGAAATCCCAGGTTAAACATAAATTCTGTTCAGGTTTTATATATGCCTTAAGCACATGGTCTGAAGATAATTTCATACAATATTCTTGACACACCTATAATTTGACTGTAACCCATCACTCAAAATCAGGCCTGAAATTTTCCCCTTGTTACATCATATCAGTGCTCAGAAATGCTGAGATTTTCAGAGCATTTCAGATTTGGCGTTTATAGATTGGGGGCTTTCAACTCAAATGATCATCATCATTGTGTTTGTCTTGAAATTCCATAATAGATAATGTTACAGATAAGAATATGTTGGTATTTTGTAAAGGTGGCTTCTCCTTATTCTTTGAGACTATCTGACCTTTAAAACTTGGAGAATGTTTAAGTGTTTTAAGTTATTCCCAGAAACAACATTCTACTAAAGAAGATATTGCCACTTACGAAAATTCAGAACTACTTGGAATGCTCTGCATCGATCTGATCTGTTTTTCTCACTGAATTTCACAAGTTGCGTAATAGTCCTCTAGAAATGAATTTAGGAATAACAAACACAGTGATTAATATTATGACATCATGTTTCTTGTCCCTAAAAACAGCAAGTTTATACCAAGCTTAGATTAGGCCCCGTGGAGATCATTAAGGAAAAGATTCCTCTATCTGGTAAAAGGTTTGGCACAGTGGCATGTCAGTGATTGAGCACAACGCAACCCCTCACTAGACATGCACTTGCTGACAAGCCTGTGCTCTGATGGGACAGTTGGCACTCCGAAAGTATAAGATTTTAGTCCTTTGTGCCACTGTCAGGGTTCACCCTACTGATACCATCTGTTCTGTTCATTGTCTGAAACATAAACACTTCCCCATAAAATAAATTAATGACTGTTCCAGACTTCAGCCACCCTCCAAAGTCTATTAAGCATACAACTTCCTGAAGAGTAATTTCATATCAGCTACTACTAACCTCCCTTGATACCACTGTTCCTCTCAGAAGATAGGTGTCTAATTCTCCTTACCTCTAAACAAGAACATGGAGTTAAAGTTTTGGAAAGGTAGGTCTGAATCTTCTATTTCTTACAGACAAATAGTACATGCTTAGTTGGGCAAAGAAAAGCACTTACTACTGACATGAGTTATATTGATTTGAGACACTTTAAATGTGTAAACTAGGGGCTGAGGAGATGGCTCAGTAGAATAAGTGCTTCCCTGGCAAGCTCAAGGGCCTGAGTTCAATCCCTGCTTCCGGAAAAAAAAAAAAAAAACAGGATTAATGTGTAAAGTAGTCACTATCTGAACTTAATTGTACGTCATTTCTTTTTTTTGGGCGGGGGGGAGGGGGTGGGAGGGCAGTACCAGGGATCAAACTAGGGACTTTGTGCTTGCCAGGCAGGCAGGCACTTAAGCCACTGAGCTTATCTCCCCAGCTGAATTTAATTGCATTTTCTCTCTCACACTACTCTTTAAGTGAATAAATCATAGTATCCTATGCAATACTGTACTGTTATAAATAGTATATATACATATATTCTATTTATATAAAGAAGTTATTATTTTTATTTTTGTAGGTGGCTGACCCCATACTGTTTCATAGAATTAATGGAGAACAGAAATGATATCCCAAACCAAGGAAATCTTTGGCAAATGAAGCCTAAAAGCCTAGAAGATGATGACTACTTGGTACAATAAAACATTCTTAATAATTAGAAATCTATAAGCGTGATTCAAATCCCTTTCTGTATCTCCCAGTGCAAGAGCAGCTTTCACCTGTCTGCAGATTTCTGCACTCAGGTTCTTGTCACAAATCCCATACTAAAAGGCAGGGTGATGTATGTGAGAGAAACACTGCTTTCTTTGTCAAAGACTTAGCCTGGATTTTTTACAAAATAGAAGAATTAGAATAGATGGTCTTCCAGGTCCTTCAGATTGTCCCTAGTGGTCTATGGATCTAAGTTTAGAAAGAAAAGAAAAGGCTATCAATGTCCATATATCAGGACTTTTATAAGCAGGCACTGTGGCAGCTTACCAAAAGATCACCAACTAAATGGATGATTCACTGTTTAACCAATTGCATTCATTTTCGGATAAGAATCATTTGTCCCACTTTTGGTCAACTATGAAATTAAATGTTTTTACCACAGTACTTGACTCAAAAAGTAGCAGAAAATTTTCATTCCAAACTCTTACCTTTCTGAGTTACTTTAAGGACAGACTTAATGAAAATTGTTTTACTTAGACTAGGCATGGTGCCACGTGCCTGTAATCCCAGCACTTAGGAGGCTGAAAATGGGAGAATCACTACCAGTTCAATCTCTGTGGTGAAACCCTGTAGACCCTGTCCTAAATAATGGGAAAAAAAGAAAAGAACATTATTTTACTTATTTTAAAAGGAAACATAATTAAGAAATTACAAGCACATGCCTGCCAAAGAAATTATGTGCATAAAACAAAGTCATTTTCAGTTTTCAATGTAACTATCCTATTTGCAGTTCCATAATTCTTAACTCTTAACCAGAAAATTGATCTCAGAAGATTATAGGTAGATTGTCCTAACATGGAGAAATGCTAGAAGCTGTATCCTTCTAGATGAAGTAATTAGAAAAAGCATTGGCCATAACAGTGATTTATTACCTCAAGTAAAATTTGAATGCCAGGAGAGGTCATTTTTAAACACTGAAGATTATAGACAACTGTGTAAATTATATTTTCAGTGCATAAAATGAAACGAAAATGATAATCACTACCATCATTTCAAGCACAAAAATGTTCTGGCTTCACCTGTAGTCACAAAGATAAGGGATAGCATGCTGAGTGAGAAGTGAATTTTGAGTCTTTTTTCTTTTCCATTTTTCAGTCATTTGGGGAAATGATAGATTATTCATTTCAACCTGCTTTTAAATTATTGACCACCTAGAAATGGAACCGGGCAATAGGTTATCTCTGGAATTTAGCTGGTTGTATAGCCTTTTATACCTTCTGATAGATATTTGTCTACCAGTAGACAAATGAGTTATTTTAGAACTATAAAATTAAAATGGAAGATTACATAATGTAAGTTATATGTTTTATCAAATATTAATGATATTCATGACCCTTTGTATTTGAACTAGTACGGAATTGCCTCTTTAGTGCTTTGTAGAGAGTTGTCCATGAAGTAATAAAAATATGATTAAGCAAAAACAACTACCATAGTTTTCAAATTTGTTGTTTTTACCAAAGATTAGTACACTGTTTAAAACTTTATTTTCTAACTCTGGCTTCCCAGTTCCTTATTCCATTATTTTGCATCTTCAAAATAAAATTGCCCAAGCTCCCTTGGAGATATTTGCAGAATTTATTTCTTTTCTCTTAAATACAAATAACAGAAATTAATGAAGAAGCCCAAAATAGTCAAGTGCACCTTTGGTCAGTGCTACATAAACTATGCTGTCAGCTAACCTGTATCCAAAGGCAAGGTTCCGAATGCCCTGATCACTGGGAAGCACAATGAGTGAGCAATGAGAAATTAGATTAGGAAAAGTCCCATTGTCTCGTTTAGTTTTAAGATGCTTCTTTCCTTTCCTTTGTAGACTAAGGATGTGGAAGAGACCAGCATGCTGAAAAGACCTGTGCTTTTGCCTTTGCCACAAACTGCCCATGTTAACGAATTTGATTGTCCCTTGGAACTTCAGCACAGACAGGAACTCTTTGTGCAGTGGTGTTTGCCAATTAAAATAGCTGCTGTTGTGTCATCACTGACTTTTCTTTACACTCTCTTGAGGGAAATCATTCACCCTTTAGTAACTTCCCATCAACAGTGTTTTTATAAAATTCCAATCCTGGTCATCAACAAAGTCTTGCCAATGGTTTCCATCACTCTCTTGGCCTTGGTTTACTTGCCAGGTGTGATCGCAGCAGTTGTGCAGCTTCATAATGGAACCAAATATAAGAAATTTCCACCTTGGTTAGATAAGTGGATGTTAACAAGAAAGCAGTTTGGGCTTCTCAGTTTCTTTTTTGCTGTACTGCATGCAATTTATAGTCTATCTTATCCAATGAGACGATCCTACAGATACAAGTTGCTAAACTGGGCATACCAACAGGT